CGGCTTCTGGCTGGCGTCCTGTGGTATTACTTCGATGCGCTAGCAAGCTCCTTGAGTCCGTCATCGCTGAGAGGCTTCTTCACAGCCTAGGCGACAAGTTCCGAGTGCCGGAGATCCATGGCTTCTGCCGCGGTCGCAGCTGCGACACGGCATTGGAGAGGATCGTCGAAGCCTACAAGAGTGGAATGGGAAAGAAGGGTCACCATACCCTTTTGCTTACGCTAGACGAAAGCAATGCTTTCAACAGCGTTAAGCATTCTTTTATCATTTCAGAGCTCAACCGTCTAGGAGTGCCACCATACTTGGTGCGCACCCTTAGGTCATGGCTTACCGGACAGCAGGTACACCTAGAGTTTGGCGCCGACGAAGCCTCGGTGGTCCTTCAACGGGGAGTGCCACAAGGGTCCGTCTTAGGACCCTTGTTGTACTCCATCTCGACGCTATCCTTAGCTTCACTCCTGCGACCGATTGAAGGCCTCATCAGCACCTTTTATGCTGATGATAAGACGCTGGTCTTGACTACCAAGGGAAAGAAGGACTTCCTGACGAAGTGGAACTGCATAGAGTTCTTTATCACGCTTTGGGGAAAGGCCTCTGGCCTGACCCTTTCGCCTAGTAAGTGTGCTTATATGTGTCGTTCCAAGCTACAGGTCCCAGCGCTCTTCATTGACGGAGGAGCCATCCCAAGGGAGAAGGTCGTGAAGATCCTCGGCCTATTCGTCGACCAGAGACTGACCTTTGCGGTCCACATCAGGAAAAAGTGTGCCGAGGCACGGAAACGGATTGGACTGCTGCAAGCGCTTGGTTGGGAACGAGCTGGCTTGGACCATCGTCGGATTATCCGCACATGGCACCAAGCAGTTCTACCTTTCCTTGCCCATGCGGCCTCCATTTGGGCTCCTGTCCTTTCGGGCTCACCTAATCTTAGTAAGATCGTAGATAATCTTTCTGGCTTTGTAGCCAGAGTCGCCATAAGAGCACCGAGGACGGCCTCTACAGCAGCAGTCACCATGATGGCAGGCATCGTGCCGGCCAGTATCATGGTGCAGACCCTAGGAGCTAGAAGATCGGCTGCCATAGGAGACAACGAGGCTTTGAGGAAGGCTCCTGGCATCGGTCTAGTTGAAGGAGGCTGGCTTGTCGAGAAGAGGACGCCCCATCCCCTTCCTCCTTGGATCCCTCCCCTCCCTACGACTATTCGTCCAAGGAAGGAGGCGCTGAAGGAGGCAGTGGAATATGAGGCCCCGGCCATCTTCACCGACGGCTCGAAGCATGGCGACGGCGCTGGCGGCGCTTTTATAGCGATTATTGATGGCTCTGCTGTTGAGAAACAGTCATTTCGGCTGCCTCGATATGCAACCATACACCAATGTGAACTGGAAGCGATTCGTCGCGCTTTGAGATGGATCGCCTTCTCAGAGCACAAAGGTAAGCAATGGCGTGTCTTTACCGATTCTCAGGCATCGATATTAACGATCAAGAATCGAGTGACGACCGAGCGTTCTGGCATAGCCCAAGATATCGCTCGACTCTCCCTACTGGTCCGAGCCGACATCCATTGGTGTCCGGGCCATGAAGGAGCCAGATGGAATGAAGAAGTCGACGTGCTGGCCAACATCGGGCGGAAGGCTTTCTTCCCCTTGGACCGTTATCCGTCGCCACAAGTCTCCACGGCATTTATTAAAAAGATGGCTAAGGAAGCAGCTTCGGAGTCGACCCGCCAATGGTGGATTGACAAGAGGCGTACCCTAGGAACGTCAGTTAAAGACTTTCTATGGGGCTACAGCCACGCCAAGCGCTATTTGAAGGCTGGTAGGTCTTCTCCTGAGCTTGCTGCCTTAATTACAGGTCATGCCCCCACACCGCACCACCGGTGTACGATGGGCATCAGAGCCGATCCTTCCTGCCCCTGCGGCTGGGACAACGGAGATGTGAAGCACTTATTACGAGACTGTCCTTTATTGGACGGTGCCCGACGCGACTCGAAGCTTTCGCGAGTTCTGCCGAAGGCGAATTACAAGATGATCCTCGACCGTCGGTATCGTCCTTCCCTACTGAAGATGGCGAAGCTGACCTTCGAGTGGCTGAAGAATCTCCGAGAAGCGGAGACTCAGCCTTAGCAGTGCGGACTGATGGCGTCAGCGTCTCTGCTGGCGTTCATCCAAGGCCCAGGACAGTTCTGTTTTTGTCCTTTCCATGAGTACTCTGGCGTCCAACGCCGATTCCTGGAGAGTAAAGTCCGAGATCGGCCACTTGATGAAGAAGGGCTCGGGAAGGAGAAAGCGGAAGGGTGAGCTGTTGGATAGTTGTTCGCTGGTGTGGATGGTCAGGTCTCTCCAACTCCTGAAGTCTGGATGTGTCTTGCTCTTGAGGCCGCTGTCCACAAGTTCCTGGTGAAGGCTATGGGCCGGACCATGCCAGGGCGCGGCAAGCTACCCCTGGGTCACTGCAGGCTTTACCCTCCGGGATGTCTAACAATCAAGCCGGGTGATGGGCTTCGTGCCCCTTGGTCTAGTGGTGTGGTGTCCGGTACTGTCACTCGGTCCTTGCGATCTCTGATGTCGCTAAGACCCGCCTCTGGATCTTGCCTACGCCAGAGGTTTGTGGTCTGTGCCTCGAGCACGGTGCGAGTTCTTACTATATGAACTCAAGTCCCGAGCACCAGAAAAGAAATGAAAAGAGAGCCTAGCTCCATCCTCTGCTAACCTTTAGGGTTAGAGAGGACCAAGGGACTGATGCCTCGATGCATGCTGCTCTGACCTCTCCAATGGGTCAGCCCCTTCTTGCGCCTACCCTCCGGGATGTTGTACCAGGTACAATGTACCTGCGCATAGAAGGTGGCGATCTCATGATTTTGAGTCCCTCAGCACCTGGGCCAATCTTGACCAGTGACATGTCTACCGGTACCTACCCTGGCACTCTACCATATGCTGGATCCAGTTCCTGTTGGTCAAGCCTCGAGAGAAAAACCTGAAGGACGGAGGGAGTTGGAGAAGACTGGACCTGAAGCACTGGCAGCAACTTGAAGATGGCGAGCCTCGAAGTTGGATCTGGACCGAAGCTCTTCGGATTCTTGGACGACTCAAGACTGAATCAAAGGGATGAAGCGGCGGCCAAGGAGGAAGAGTGGCCGTAATTAAGTCGACCGAGTTCGCAGTATAAGACATGTCATGATGATTTGTTGTACTCGCATGACTCGGTGTATCATGCTCTATGATAATTGTATTTTCCGAAACTTGTTAACTCGTATATAATGACTGGCGAAGTATCATTCCACGCGATTTGACACATTCCCGCCGTCGATTTCCTGGGCGGGCAAATACCTTATGAAAGGGCCGAACAGCCAACATCCAAGGCACTAATATCTGTAAGCCCGCGCATCGACGGCTCCCTTATTTACTATGTTGAACTTGAGACTCGCTTCTTGCTAATCAACTATTAAATATGAGAAAACATGCCGGATTCGTTATCCAAGAGCGTTGGGTAGTTGGTTCGGTGAGGCCGAATAACTTCGCTGCCGTTCGAATGCCGCCTGCAGGTATGTTTTGCATCGTCATTGTTCTCGAGACGATCGTTCAATCGCCGATGCAAACACATCAACGGGAGGACGAGTCATCAAAAGGTTTAACAAAATTCATCCTCACGTTGTCGAGGCCAACCAAATCGGCGAGGTGGCAACGACTCGGGAGAACAAAATTCGAAAGACGCTACGTAAAGACGATTGGCTGATACCCGAAATATCTCCGATTCAGTCGTGTCGAAGATCTTCCCGCTTGATAGCAAACAGCCGATTGACGTCAGAGTTCCGTCAAGCATGAAAGTTGCCGACCTCAGGTCACTCGACGGTTATCATTTACATCCACTATTTCTCCTCAGACTTTTGGTATATGAGAGGATCGTTGGCGCCTGGATTCCGACAATTTGGCATTGCACCTCGGCGATGATCTTCTCTCTACCAATACGAAAGTTTATTGTATTTTTATTATCGTATTCAATCATCACCATTCCCTCTTGCGTTATGAGTCTAGCTATTCTACACGCCTCCCGATATCGCTCCCCGAAATCATGCAGTTGGGCGCTGGGCTCTGCGGGGTCGCCCGAGAGAAGATTGGTGGTTGTGATGATTGGTCTATGGCGTTGTTCTAGATGTCGTCGCTGAGTTCAGATCCCGTGGGAAGCTGTCCCGTAACTGGTGTAACACAAGGGGGTCCTGTAGGTTAGGGAGGTACGCTGTAGACTGGCAATAATAATCGTACTGATCGTAAGGCGAAGGTAGTACTGTGTTCTCACGCGCAGCGCATAGACGAAGTACGTGAAAAAAATTGTCTACTGTACTCGGATAAGGGTTGACTAACATTGTCCTGTTGACGAGATCAGGACAAGAATCATCGATCTTTTGGAAAGAACGACAGAAAAAATATCATGAAATGTTGAAGAACGAACGAAAGGGAATAACAAGGTTGACGACTTGACGACTCTGTGACGACAGCCTTTCAAGCGTTGTAGCGGGCATAAACTAAGAGGGCTCCTCCACCCTCGTCTGAGAACAGAGATATTCCGTATGCCTAATGAGCGCGATGCGGGGAATTCAGACACATCCTGACATGTCCCGAGTTGACCGAATAAACTTACCCAATATTTGCATAAACTTGAGTTTTTCATACAGGGCGATTTGAGCATGATCCACAGGCTTCAGCTGGGTGTAGACGACATCCCAGTTCGGCTTAACTCTAGGGAGCTGAAAGGAACAAGTATTGAAGCCATTTCCGAAATGGGAGTCTCAAGGAGACTCCTTGAGACTCAGTCTCATCTCTGCGAGAATAGATAACTGCACTGTACGAGTCGAACAGTTCCACGAAAAGTGTCGTGGTAGACTCACGTCTTGGAACATCCCTGATAGAAGTCTCCCTTCGATTCCTTCATCTTTCCATAGGTTGGCGACCAACAACTGAGAGTGCAAATGGCACCAGCTTCAACTTAGAGGATTCCATCAAGCTTACCTCATAGATGATGCCGATGGCCCCACCCGGCTTCTTGCATCCACTCGGCCTATATAAGGTAAGTTCAGATGAATGTAAGAGCCCCGCCTCGCATGAGAAGGAACCATATTCAGTGGGTAATGCTTACCTTTTTTTTGCGATCGCTTTTTTGACATCAGCTGGGACACTGGGCTTAGGGATAGCCATAACCAACAAGCCGACGACCGTCTGAGAGAAAGACAGCTAGGTGTCAGCGAGCTGCTGGAGCCACACTGCTGTCCTCAATGCATTCCCAACCCACAGTACTAAAACACACCGTAAAACACGATAAAGTTGAGCAGAGTACCTGCTTCAAGCACTCTGCTTGTACAAAGAGAAATATATGTATATCCATGTGATTACTCGGCTAGTCATTATCCTGCTGTCAAGTACTCAACCATCCAACTCACTACGCCAATTGAAAATGGTCTTACTTTACTTCCACTCGGCACTGCAACCCAACAGCGAGATATTTCACAATCCACAGGAGCGTCGGGATTCTGCACCAGGGTCAGGTTATCTTCGTCTTCGTATTCACGATACTCTATATTCTCTAGCGAGCGCAGCGCCTGTGACTCGATCAGAAACGGAGTCACCTGACCTCCCATCACCGTGAGGGAGAGTAGTCCAGACAAGAAGGAAACGAGGAGTTTCATGTATGACCGGAAGAAGTTATCACCTGGAGCGCAACATGTAACGTTTTCTTGGTCGATCCATTCACCCCGCTGAAAAACCCAACACTTGAGTTCCCGCTTGAGGGTGAGTTTGTCATCAGGAGATGTTTTAAACTTGATATCAAACTTTGATAATCAAAGTCCAATCACATCCTGATGTTACCGAAGAAAAAAGTCCCAGAAGTCTCCCTCATTCCGGAGCCCGTCTGCTCTACTAATATCGACCTACTCGCTTACTCCACTCAACACGCTACGAATAGACAAGATTCCGTACGCACGCGTGCGGCCTAGATCTCCTAGGCAACGTACGCGAGTAAATCGACCACGGGGAGATAAATAAAGATAAAAAAGTCGAAACGGACAGGATTGCTGTTAGAGGCGACTGCCCAGATCGTCGTAGTGGTACCTCAACGCGCGACAAGCATCTTGTTCATCTATCTTGTTTGACGCGCGCAGATCATCAGACGGTCAGCACGTAGGTGCAGTTCCACGGCCACCCTGCTATGTCACGTGGTGGCTGTTGTTGATCGGACACTCAATCTTGTCATCTTCTTTCCCCTCGTCCTCGGACGAGGAGCTGATATATGCCAGCAACTGATCGTACCTTGTGTTCTTCGTCTCTCATCTTGCAGCGTTCCGCTCCTGGCTTTTGAGAAGGTCTTTGTGCTGAGGATGCGTGCGACGGCTTAGGTCGTCGCCGCCGGGATACGTCCGATCAGAATATGTGTTTGCGTGCGGCACGCAGCGTGCCCCATTGCCCCATATGTTCTCGACTGAACGCAATCGAGTCCCCGAAATTGTGGCTAATTGCTAAGCGAGCGAAGCGAGCGGAGCATATACCGAAGAAAAAATTTCCAGAAGACTCCCTCATACCGGAGCCCTTCTGCTCTACTAATATCGATCAACGCGCGTAGTCCACTCGAAAGGCCACGAATGGACAAGATTCCACACACACGCGTGCAGCCTAAACAGTTTTCGAAGTAGGAGGCAACGCCGCTGCTGTCTTCGTGGCAGAAGGATAGGTGCCGTCTCTCCTCGGGGTGGATCTTCAGGAAGCGGTACGCACTCTCCAGGTCCGGCTCGAAGAGGAGCCGGTGGCTCCTTTTCGCCAGTGGCTCCGAGCCACTTCCTCACGGGGTATTTCTGCTGCAGCTCACCCACCAATCTCCGAGTACAGGTCGCGGATGGGAGCTTATTGGTGTTCGGAACTCTGGCCCGGAGATTTATGTTACCCCGGAGGTAGTCGTCGATCACTCTCGCCCCACCATCTTTCTTTGGGATGGCTCCTCGAGGGACGAAGCTCCGGTTGCGATCGAGGATCTCCCCCTCGTTCAGTTTCCTGATGAAGCCTTGGGCCTCCTCTTTGCGCAACGTCTCCTCAACAGTATCGATGACAGTAGGATCTCTCATGGATGAGTAGTTCTTGAAGCCGTCGCCGATTGTTTTGGACGGGAAGGGGAGGTGCATTTTTTTGTTGTATCTGGGGAAGATGGGACACGGGACGATCTCTCGCGAAATGCCGATTAGCAGACCCTCTTCGCAGAGTTCCCGATGTCACGGTCGTCGACACCTAATTTTCCACCAGGATGCTGAGCAGCTTCCCATCGACGGAGTTGGCCGGTCCTGGCGTCGCGATCGGGAGGTTCAGTGAGCGCTTGAGTTTCTCCCTTGCCTTTGCTGCTGCAATCTCAGCCAAGGCTCCCAGGGTGGAGACCTGTCCTTCGATGGGCCTTCCCTCTACGGCGCGGAGGGCGTCTGAGAAGCCCGAAGACTGCCCTACCTTCCACAGAATGGCGGCCACTCTGCGGCCGAAGGTCTGATGAGCGTCTGAGAGGGAATGGCCCGCGTCGGGTAATTGACAGCCACCTCCATCCTTGAAGTGCTCGTCGTCGAATATGTCCGTATTGATGGTCTTTGTGGCCTCCGCCTAGAGGTCTTGAAGGGCTTTACCGAAATCATGGTCACTGCCGGCTGGAGCTTTGGTTGCGTGCGTACGAAG